TAACCCACAATGTTCAAAACCTAAATTGGAAACTAAAATTTAGTGATTATTACATTAAGAGTAAAATACATACTCATAGTCACAATCTAGTTACCAAAGTCATTACCTTTCTGGAACTTCCAGCTCTAATTTGAAAACTCCTCCAGCATATACAGTATCATCATCACCAATAATAACTGAAAATATACAAGAGAAAAATAAATGAACCAAACTAACCCATTCAAGAATGGAACATCCAGGACTATATTGAACAACAAATCATGAGGTGCACGGAGTCAGCTGCTTGAGAGAAAGATTAGAAGTGTGGGAACCATAAAAATACTCTTGTCTCTATGCTTCTTTAAGCAATCAGGCTAGAAAGAGGAATAAATATTGAGGGCCTGTTTCTCCTCAATGAGTGTAGCTAGGTCCAAATAAGAGCACTACAGTCAAGTACACACAACTTGGCACAGGTTCAAACCACACATCACATCACATCATCATCCTGGCATAAAAGATAGCCTGCCATTTGATAGAACATCATCCCATAGTAAATGGGTTACATAGAGTAAATTCAAGCAGACAGTATACACAGAAAATGTTTTCTGTTGCCATTTATTTGTTCTATCTCTGTTAATAGGAAGACAACTTAGAACATGTAAATTTCTCTGTAAGATAATGTACTATGTGTGGGACTTTTTCTGAAATGTAAAAACCTGTCTACATTAAAACTTAAATTCTTAACCCATTCGCCCCGGAATTATGTTCTGTCCTCTGTAGTTTTTGATGAATTTTGTTACATACAGATGGCTCTGCCGGCAAGGAGTCTATCAGTAGGCCCTAGTTACCGACCCTGATTCTCCCATTCATTGAACTGGTGGGAAAAATAATACCATTGCTATCGATACTGTTATTATTGTTATTGATGTTATGATTATTAAATTGTCATTAGAATATTTTAGACAATGAAATGATACAAAAAAACTTTTCCTAAAGTGAAGGAAAAGGGTAAACAGGTGAATTAGGTAGTTCTTGATAACTGGCTATTTGGTGATTAAGAACTTGTGGAGCCATCTATGTGTAAATACAATAAATAAACGTGTCTCAAAGTGGGTATGGCATCTAATCTTGCCACATGTGACGAATGGGTTAATATGTAATTGCAAGACTGAGATAGATAATATATCATATGCATGAAATCCTTTTACCTCATGCTAAACATAAATGAATAATTCCATATGTCTAAACTAAACCATTGGTAGATCTCAAATAAAAAAAAATAATAAAAAAATCATGAGCCAAGGAATAACCTTCTTGTACTGAAAATTTGTATTTCACATCCTTTTATTCACTCATGTAAAAAATTGTCACAAGTCACTTATTTATCGTTTTACTTCTTCAGTATCACCAAGCAGTCATGGTGGATTTTATTTTAATGACAAAAGTGAAAATAGTTCTTTACATTTACTTAAATCTTAATCTAAAAATATATAGGCTACATCATAAACACTTATAAAACTCTGTACATAGAAATCTTATTTTTCTTCTTCCAATTCTAAATCTATTACTACCATAAATATTATCCTAGTAGAATACATGTTACAGAAAGATGTGGGGGGGGGACCATGCCTATGTTACACTGCCATATCTTTTTGTTAGGGACATAATGATGACATTATCTTCTCTACAAAAATTCAAAACTTTAATTAACTGTGTAAGAAATTACAAGGTCTTATATATATATTTCCTGTCCATGTTCTAGTGTATCTAGGTCAGGTTTCACTGACAATATCAATATGGTCCATCTTGAGGTGCTTCACAGGAAGAAATAAAGTACTATTGCACTGGTGTCTTTATATGATTTTCCTAATAAATTTCCAAATACATATTCTGAAAATCACAAAACTTAACAGGCAGACTTATTCTTACCTACTAGCACATGAAGTATTAATATCAGAGATATGCATATATATATCAGCTGAAAATTGGTTGAAATAAAAAAAAATAGAATACTGAACAGACAAAAAGTACTTTACAATTTGCCTGAAATAAATTCAAATGATATACAGAACAGGAGTGTTTATGTATTAAAAAAATATTTTGTTAACATAAAATACAGAAATTACCTAAAGGAAAGAAAGATGCTTCTTGAAAATTTCCGAATGATACACTTAACAATCAGCACCATGGACAAAAAGTAGGAATATGAATAATGCCGATATGCTAAAAAGAATCCATAAATTATGTGGACATGGAATAAAATGAGAGGAAGGAAATTAAAGAGATTAGCAATTACCTTCAGGTGAGCATGTGAACCAGATATGGTAATGAAAAAGAGCAAACAGACAAAGGTGTCAGCAGTGAGAGTGGGAATGTTACTCCGACTGAGCAGGTAAATCAGCCCCCCATCACTCAATAAATATTAAGTTAGTGAAAATAGGACATGAATATGTTTCTTCTATTCCATATGTTGTTAACAGTTGCTCTGCCATGCTGATGCAATCTAACTGTTTTCCATATGCAAAGCAAAATATTACAAAATAAGGAAATCATCTTAAATATACAGGCTTTTACATGACAATCCTCACTTAAACAAAACTCTTAGAGACATTCAAGTCATGGGCCCATTCATTCAATGGCAATGGCATGTTTTCTTCTTGATTACCAAAAGGCATTTGATACTGCACCGCAAATGAGTCTGTTGCTTAAAGCCTCAGACACCTGGTACTGAATATCATCAGAATTAGTTAACGTTGCTGTCTTTTATGAGGGGGAGTGAAAGAGGAACCTTCACTGAAATGTTCAAGATAAAGAAGAATGTGAAGGGAATAAAGAAAGAAATCTACTTTTAAGCCAGGACTGAATCAGAATTATGAGGTTTTGCACTGAAATTGTTTAAAAACAGATTTTACCTTGCTGTGAGAAAATACTTCAATAACTGACCAGAACTGCACAAGTAATAAAAAAATGATAATAATCTACATAATGTAAACCCAGTGATACCATAATCTCTGAAATCAAAACTCCAACAAAGGCAAACACACCTCACCTGCACTAAAGGTTTCAAGACTGTCACCCTCTGGCCAACATGACACTCCCGAGGGCGGTGAATCTCGCAGCTGCTGGCACTCACGCTTCAGCCTGCCAAGTCTCTGTGCCATCCTAAGTTCTGTAAGGGAATTAATGGCATAGAAGCATCCACAGCTTTTAAAGAGGATTTGGAATATATCTAAATAAAAAAATATTACTATAAAAATTATGGAAGTTTAGTATATGTAGAAAGAGAGAGTTAAGGAAAGAGAGAGTAGTGAAGAGTGGAGAGTGAAGAATGAAGAGGGAAGAGTAAAGAGCAAAGAGGATGGGGTAAAGGGTTAAGGATAAAGGATAAAGAGAAATATTAAAAAGTAAAGAGGAGAGAGAGAGAGAGAGAGAGAGAGAGAGAGAGAGAGAGAGAGAGAGAGAGAGAGAGAGAGAGAGAGAGAGAGAGAGAGAGAGAGAGAGAGAGATAGAGAGAGATAGAGAGAGATAGAGAGAGAGAGAGAGAGAGAGAGAGAGAGAGAGAGAGAGAGAGAGAGAGAGAGAGAGAGAGAGAGAGAGAGAGAGAGAGAGAGAGAGAGAGAGAGAAAATCAAGTATCATAAAACAATCTATAAAAAGTGAAGATGAGGCTATAATCCCTATACAAAGCAATGAGATGACTTCCACACCTCACATTCATCCACATATGTATTTTGTCAAGACACAGCTTTGTGACTTATTGTGACCAAAGTGGCTATCTTTACTCAAATAAGGAGCCAATCCCAGCTCTACCTTACAAATTATACATGAAGAAGGTCTGTTGGTCTTTGCTAAAATGTGAAATGCTGAGGCCAAGGTCTTCCTACTCTCCCCTCTCAAAGTCCCAAAGGGAAAAAGATGCTTCAATCAAAAAGTCCAGTACATAACTTCCTTGGTGATTTCTCGTTAAGAATTTTTTCATAAATAACTGGTTGGACTTTTCTTTCCTAGGGTAATATAAAGTACTGTAAAAGTACCTCCATAAGAAAAAAAAAAATGATCACATATAACTATAATGCCAGGGTTGAATCCACATATGATTTATGCCATAGCTTTTGCTGAAAACCAGACAGTACACACTGACTTATAATCATCTGATACTGCATTGCAAATGGCAGAACACTGAAGGAGGACTTAGATAATAACTCTTGAGATGATAACAGTCAGCAGCTGAAAAACTTATGGCAAGCACCTGACATGCTTCAACTTTTTTGTCAGTCACTGAAAGATTGTTGCATGTAGGTATGTGAAAATGCTAATCTCATGCCAGGACATTAACCCTAAGGGCGAGTCCGCACCAGAGTTCTCCAGCACACATCAATTTTTTTGTCAATTAATTGATATCAATTTATTGACGTCAATGAATTGATGGAAAAATTGACCGTGTGTGGGGGACATTGATATCAATTTAATTGAAACAATTTCATTGAATCAATTCATTGAGAGATCAAAACTCCTTTGATATTTATTGATGGGTCTTCAAAAAAATTGAGCGTGTGTGCGTCAATATATCGATCAATAATTTAGTGTTTCCCCTTGCAGCAGTGAAAGAGTCGTCATCGTATCAGGGCTGAAAAAAAGAAAGAAAGTGAGCGTAAAATGATGATGGAGATAATCGACGTTTATAGATTCTTCGTCTCTTAATTCCTTCAGCAATCGTGTATGTCCTCGTTCCCTTCGACAGAGATACCATTTCTTCGCCCACTTACTCCTCTTCTTTCGCTTTGGAGTGTCCCAGAGCAAGCACTATTCCTAGAGCCACAGATGCTTTCATCTCGAAATTATGAACCAAACTGAAAATTGAAGTAAAATTATTGACCGTGTGTGAGCACAGTGATTTCCATCAATTCATTGACGTCAATAAATTGATATCAATTAATTGACCAAAAAATTGATCGTGTGTGGGGCCCTTAAGTGAAGACATAATTCTGTTACTAGACTTGCGAGTTGAAAAAAATATATATTAAACGTAACACAATTTCCATAATACATGTTTATCCAAAATATTAAAACAATCATTACTAATTCCTGAAGGTTACATAATATATATAACCTCTTATGTGACTTTAATAAGCAAA